TTCACTCACATTAAGTGTGGAGGAGGAGTTCCTTGAATTAAAACCAATCAACCAACCACACACGCATAAAGTCAACCTTCACATGTCAATACTGCTGGATTCCAGGACCAGCTGACTCTCTTCTTCTTCCTGTGTACCAGTAATTTTCCTGTGCTGCCTCAATATAGGGCATAGTACATGGAAGGCATCACACACAGTGGTGGTAATTGGGCTCTAGCCTTTCGAATAAATGTTTCTGTTCAGAGGACAGTTCACAGGATGAAGCAGTCTGAGCAAACTCTGCTCTCTGAATGCAGGCAGAGTCTGAGGGGCTGGCATTTCAAAACCAGACCACCTGAAATGAAAAGCTTGTTAAAATACAGTATGTTGGGACAGCTCATATTCTAAATACATACTTTTGATATATATATTCATGGCTCCATCCCCTCAGGTTATTATTACCCCTTAAAAAACAAGAGTAGTCAAGCCCACCTGTTTAAACAAAGCGTAGAGCTTCAACTTAACTTCATTCCCAGGGTCCTTTTTCAAAAGCTTCAGCTGCTCTTGAGCCTTTTCAAAATCTTGCTGACTGACTTGCATGGTGGCTGCAGTCATGTGTAGGTGAATGGCTGGAATGGAAAGAGCTTGCACTTGCCTATTAGTAAGTGGAGAAAAAAAAACTCATTAATTGTTTTCTTAAAAAAAAAGACTAGAAAACAAGTATGTTTATTTTAAGTTACTTTAAGTAAATGCAGAACATTAAACGTTTGCACCTGCACTGCATAAAACAACAACAAAGCAAAATTAAAAAAAAATACAAGAAAGTTGCTTTAGAAGTTGGGTTCAGCTGTAACATAATTAACCTTTGGAGAACAAGATAGTGTGAGATTCTATAAGACATAAGAGTACAAGACATATACATCTCTCTCCAGCATGCACAATGCTGGATTTCATGCAGGAGCCAAGCATTAACTAGAATGCTGCCAAATGACAGAGGAAAGACTAAACAGTAACGCACCAGCTGATCATCCACACACCACTAAATGGCAGTAGTGGTAAACTAATGTTTTTTTCTGTTTCTAAAATAAATCATAGTCCTACAGGTTCCATCCACGACAACCACATAGACACATTTTTTAATTTTTTTTTATCTCTGTAGACAATATCTTTATATGTCTATGCATTAAATAGAGTAGTAACCTCTCTGGTTTGCATAATCTTTGCAAAGTTTCTGTGCTTTTAACTCAGCATCTTAATCTAAAGGTCTGATTCTGCTAGCAGAGGAGCCTAAATCAAGACTAATTTCAAAATCCACTTCAAGTCACAAGATTGACTGTGAAACAACCTGTAGATACTTGAAATAACAGTTGGTCAGAATATTCTGGGAAAATAACTTTCCTCTAGAAGAAAAAAGAATTCTATCAAAACAAATAAACACATCAAGTAACCAACCAAACCAGTCTCAACAGCACGCTGTAAAAGCAGAGCTATTTCAACAATTTTGGAATCCAGAAGCCTGGTCATTTTGACTTTCTTCAATGGGGCAAAAGTATGTTGTTTCAACTTTCTTCATCTAAATTCCAGTATATTTAAAAACATTTACTATTTTTAAAATGCTAACACTCTATGTTTCAATTTGTTCCTTCCGGACTTTTGGAAAAATAAATAAATAAATAAATAAAAGACTTTTCCCCATTTTAATTTCCACAGACACATGGCTGCCATGTTGCAATACCATGCTAGATATAGTTCATCACTAGTCATATTTTAAAAATTAACAATTATCTGAAATGCAGATTAACAGAATGTTTAATCACCAATTTACTCAGTTAATGTTAAAATTTTAGTTTCAGAACTGCAAATTATAACTCACATTTATCATGAAAATTCTGTCTTTTTACACACCTAGCCAGTATTTTGGAAGAATAAGAAAATGCTGCCTATTTCAAAACATCTTCATCTCTCTTACTTCTCGAATAAAATTTTTCTAATTTAAGCCTAAAAAATAGAGGCAAGATGTGTGAAGAAAGACAGAATGACAACAGCATACAAATAATTTTATTACTTTTAAAGACCATTCAAATATGAGGTGTTAGTAGCCTTAAAAATACAGTTTTACGTCTTATTATGGCCCTTCTGCATTAACAAAATCTAAGTTCCTGGCACTTACCTGGTGGGAGGGGGATGGGACTACTGAGTCTACTGAATTTGAATTAGGAAAAAGGGTTTAAAAAAAAAAAAGAGTAAAAGAGTATTTTCTGTTATATATAGAAAACAACAACACAAAAAGATGCCATTAGTGATTAAAAAGAATCTCAGAATACACTTTAAAATCTGTGGTTATTAGACAAAGCTCTCCTTGCACAACACAAAACCTTACTTGTCCTGCACGGAGGCAGTTTAAAGTCTTTTTTAATAAATGGATCAGCTGTGAGCCATTCCTAACGTAGCAGTGAGCTTTGAAAAATGCAGGTTAATCATCTGCCAGGTGGACATCAGGCAGCCAGCTGCCTTCAGAAGACTAAGTCAGAGTTCAACAAGTCACTTAGCTCATCACTTAACTAATTGTTAAGGCTCAGGGACTTCATGCCCAGCATCAGTAACATTTCAACAGGAAAAAAAAAAAAAAGTGGCCTAAACAGGTACAGATACAATTGGTTTTTTTTTACTGAGTTTCTTAGCTCAGTTTCCCTGGACTCCCAGAATATGATGTTTACCTTCAGAGCCTTTTTCCCCAGCATACTTTTAAAGTGCTATTTTCAGGAAAATGAGAGTGAACACTTGACTTTTACCATTTTCCTATCCCTCTTTACAGGAAGTGGAATGCCATTAGTCCCAGGATGATCAGTGTATCTGGTGCCTTAAAAAAAAAAAAAGAAAAAAAAAAAGAACGCCAAGACTATGCAGTGACTAAAGTGGATTCAAAGTAATTTAGAAAAGGGTTTTGAAAAGGAGATTTAGGTTTACACTATGTTTGAGAATCCTAACCTGACTACAGCTTGACTATGGTCACATAATGCTTTAAATATGATAAATAGGCTTTAGGATTACAGGTCTGCTTTTTATGCAGTTTGATAGTCGTGACCATAAATGAATAAAACTAGAAGATGGGAGAGGGGGAAAAGCACAAGAGCCATTCTAAAGACAGGTGCACTTACACGTTCAAGGTCGGGGGAATTTCAGATTAGCAGGTTAAGAGTTCTCCTTCTTACTAAGAGCACAACAGGACAAGTTGGAGGAGGAGGAGGAATCAATTAGGTCAATAAAAATATCCGGCTGAGGAGAAGTTGAATGAACTTGCAGTAAATAAAGACTTGAGCTGGACAGATGACCTATTTCCTATCTATCTTCCATTTTCCTTTTTCTTTCTTTTTCTCTGTACAGGACTGGTTTGCTACAGTAATTGCAAAACTTAGTGGTTTATTAAAGTCTGGTTATAACAGAGCCCCCTCTTTTTCAGTTCTTTGTCACTGACTGTAGCTCGGGTCACTGTGGGAAATCTGTGTGCCACTCCTCCAAGTCTTCCCTTCTCAGAGGACTTTTACGACTCATCAGGGATGATAACCAGCTCTCATGTTGCTAAGCTGACTATTACTATTTCTCTATTAAAATAATGAGGATGAAAAAGCAAAGGTAAAATCAACTTGTTATGCACCATACTCGCTCACGTTGGGCAAGACCTCCCTCTTCAGAGCGACACATGAGCAGCAGGGACGGAGCTCCCTGTCCCCGTGTGCGATGACCTGAGGAGCTAAGAGGAGATCGCTCACCAACCGGCATCACCCACGGGCCTGTCCCAGGCCCAAAGGCAGCGAGCTGGCAGAGGCTGTGCTCAGCTACTTCTGCAGGGAGAACCTGCTCCCTCTATCTGCTCCCCAGCTGTGGCACTAAACCCTTCTTACTCCCCCAGGGAGCAAATCCACCCTCGTCTTAGTGGTTCCACTGCAACCACACAAGGAGAGCAGAGGAGCTTGAAAGAAACTAGGGGATTCAACCCGCCAGAGCAGCTGCAGAGACCACTACAAATGCCAGTGCACCCCTGCAACATCATTCATTTTGGGGCTGAACTCTTCTAGGTGGTGGCCAGTGACAGGACAAGGAGTAATGGGTGCATGTTGAAACACAAACTCCATGTGAGGAAGAACTTCTTTACTATGAGGGTGACAGAGCCCTGGAACAGGCTGCCCACAGAGGTTGTGGAGTCTCCTTCTCTGGAGATCTTCAAAACCCACCTGGATGCCACCCTGTGCCACGTGCTCTAGGTG